TCCCTGGAAGTGTTCCAGGCCAGGCTGGATGGGGCTTTGGGCAACCTGGTGTAGTGGAGGGTGTCCCTGCCCATGAGGGTTTTGGAACTGGATGATCTTGAAGGTCCCTTCCAACTCAAACCATTCTATGAGCATGGATTCCCAGCAGGCAGATACCCACCAAGCACATATATATAACACGTATATACACGCATAGTTGGTCAGACAGATCACAGCACTCAGAACACTCACACAAACATGACGGCACCAATGGCCTCAGCCTGATCCCCTCTGGCTGAGCAGGATGGAGATTCACTATCAGGAATATATACGCGTGTGTGTACATATATATAAACACACACACACACACACAGCTATCTCCATACATAAATGAGGATCTTTCCAGCAGCTGGGCTCAGACATTCAGTCTGCTAGTAGCTGCTCTCAGATCCCAGTGTCCCCAGCTGCTGGCATCTGGACATACAAGCAATGAGCAGATGTGCTGAGAAGACTTAGTACTTCACCACTGCTAAACATCAGGCAAGGTCAGAACTCAAAACTTTCTCACCTAACTACTCTTCAGGGTAGAAGCTGGTGTCGAACATGCCTGATGTTTCTAGAAACCGTTGCTGCTTGTTGATGATGAAGAAACTCTTTGCAGTCACTTGGTGTTATGTCAGAACTGGGAGGTGGGAGCAGCATCTACTGCTGCTCTCTTAAGAAGAGTATTTAGGATAGACTTTTTTTTTTAATATTACTTTTATTACTTTTTTAAAAAAATAATTCCCATTCAGCCTTCAAGCAAGAAGACCAAATTAGTCTACTCGAACTGTAATGGATGCAGTAGTGGGAGGTGGCAGTGTCCCTCAAAGCCCCAGGCAGAGCCCCTTCTATACACACACAGACTCACCGTAAGTGCAAAGCATAGAAGACAGTTGTGGATTGTTTCACCTTCCAGTAGGGGCACAAAACCTGTTGGTGTTCCTACAGTGAACCTCTCAATCCAATTTATATTGGCTTAAATATAAGCCAAAGCACACAAAAAAAAAGCTTTTAAAAAGATGAGATATTTTAGCAAGATTTCTCTCCTCGCTCCATGGTGGAACCTGTGCTGTTCAAACAGACCAGGCATCATCGCCTGTCAAGAGAGGATTACGGTAGAGGCAGCTCTTGCACACTCTAATTTGTGTTTCAGATCACAGTGTTGACTAGCCAGTCCAGCAAAGAAATGGTAAAGCTGCTGGAAAAGAAGTTAAAAGATGTAGACCTTGTGAGCCTGCGAAGAATGCAAGTCATTGAGGTTTTGAAGAGAGACTTTCTGGAACCTGAGGATGTGGAACAGGGCATGACAGCAGAAGAACCCAGCAGCAGTGGTGAGTACAAGACAGGCAGAGTACCCAGGGGAGTTAGTTTTGGACAGCAGGACAGCCACTAGTTCGTGCTTTGGTCCAATATCTGCCACTTTGTGCCATTTGGCATCAGTCCATCATCAGTAGGGAACTACTGTGCCTGGAGGAACAGCAAAAAGTTTGTACCACAGCACTTCTCTGGGGCTTTTTCACCCTTGAGCAAAATTAGCATATAGACTTCACACGTTTTTTGCGTCGCTTGGCATTACCTGACATTGACTTCAGGTGCAATAGAGCTTCATTGAGGGATAAGGAGAAAGACAGGCAGGGTTTATGGAGGTGACACACTTTCAGACACACGTATGCTCCTACTGCTGAACGTCACCCTGGGCGATGACTGCCTGATAGAAAGGTCCTTGGTGCAGGCAGAGGCAACCAGAATCCTTGAAGCAGGTAGTTGGGGGAGAGAGAAGCAGACAGGCAGGCAGAAAGAGAAGGAGAAGCTGGCGAGCCATTTGCCATTTCAATGGTCCTGCAGAGATTGCTCCATCCTCCCCCTCATCAACTCAAGATCTTGTCCTTTTACAAGATGTTTGATTTCTAGGCAATTCTTAGCCTTCAGTCCTTTCCCCCAGGCTCCGTACTGCACAATGCTGGGCAGAGTTACTCTCCCAGACCAAGTCGGGTCCTTACCCTGTTGATTGGCTGGGTTTTGTCACTGCTATTGTTCTTGCTTAGTTGCTGCTGTTCTCTACGCTTAGGGCAGTTTTTCTTGAGCTGCTAAGGTTGTACTTCTTCAGTAACCAGTAATTGCATATCACTGAGCTCTTTGTAGCCCCACAACCTCTGTTTTCCAGTCCAGGTCTCTGTTTTAAAGGCCTTTACAGCTGACACTTAAATTCCCCATCAACAAGACACACCTGGTACCAAGCTCTGGTTAACACAGCAAGTTCTCACGAGTTTAACAAGCTTAAAAACCTGAGTCCTGATGCCTTTCAAAGTTAGTGTCAGACCTGTTACTAGAAATGCTGTTTTTACTGAGTGACAGGCAATGTTGGATGTGGTGGCCTTACCTGTATCTAGCTGTTCTTCTTTTCTGGTTGCAGTAGCAAATTTCTGGTGAATTGGCGGAGCAGGGGCTGGGAATGTTTACCTGGATCACAGATTCCCTTTTGCCCAGCACACACACACAACTGGTCACGTGTTTCATTAGTGAAAGAGCAAGTATCCCCCAGATCCTGAAGGTTGTTTTTCCTGGCCATATCTCTGAAGAACTCCTCCCTTAATCTGACAGTTTTCTGCAGTAAGAATTTAAGCTATAGTAATGAGAAATTCAGAAACAGAAATTCCTGTCAGCTCCTGTTTTGAGCTTTTTTGTTTCAAATCGAAAGGTGCTGAGCAGACTTCAAATAAACCAGCCAGCCAGCGACCAAAAGTCCATCACCACAGTGACTCAGTGGTAGAAGCCCGTACGTTGCAATGCTGCTGTAACTGCAGCTTTCATTTTGGTGTTTCGTTTTACCTGACTTTTAAATCTGCTTTTTTTTTTTTTAAATCAGCTCTTTCCCAAGGCTGATGAAGTGACTGCTAAATAGCAGGAATTTGCGCTGGTTTTCCCCTGTCTGCAGCACAGCACTGAGTGGGTGCATCGTGCTACAGATGACTGCTCTCCCTGCTGCCTCTTCGTCCGCCAGCATGGTGGTAGAGCAAAGCAAACACTGAGCTGTGTCATCAAGCACTTAGAGGTCTGTCATCCCTCTTACTGCTTGTTAAAAGCTTCCTGCCCTGAAGGGACAGTCTTCCTCAAAGAGACATAGCTGGTTTTTCTGGACTCTGCCTGTTGGAAAACAGAGGCCTCAGGGAGGGTGCTCATCTCTGCAGGTAAAACTGCTTGGCTGGAGAAAGGGAGCACCTTCTCTTTCTGACCCGCACCATTACCACTAACACTGGGAACAGTGAGTCCTAAGGAAGAGGATCAAGGTTTTATCACTCTGATGTGACTTTAGAATTAATTTAATATGCCAAGACTGCACCAAAACTGAGTTACAAAACCATGGAAGCAACTGTTGCCCACAGCTCCAAGGCTGAGGTGTTCTTTAAAAGCACCGATCTGATCTTGTCCATATGGGAAGAGAGCAGTGTTTTGGGTGGCTGCAAATGGTGGCTTCTCAAGAGAGGAGGATTATCGTGGAGCCTTTGCATCGAGCTGGTGCTGCGCAGAGCTGTGTGGGGAAGCCTTGGAAAACTAGACAGCACACAGCAGGAGATGTTCTGTGCCTCTTGGTCACGAGATTGCTTTAGAGCATGCAAAACCCCGCCGTGTTGTTTTTAAAAGCGAAGTTGTGTAGCCCTTTCACTTAGTAAAAGGAACGAACACAGCTCAGCCGCCGCGCGGCCGCGCGCTCGGTCCTCCCCGCAGGGCGGTGAGCGGGCAAAAATGTCACAGAAGGGCTGGGGGGCGAGGGAAGCACAGGGAGGGACCACCCACTGACTGCGGCCCCGGGCAAAACGTACTCAGTTTGGGGACAAATCAATTTAATTTGTTAACAGCTCGTTCAGAGAGGATAACAAGAAATTAAGACAGA